TAATCTGACTTAACATTATTATTCTACTTTCTATATGATACTCAGAGATGTCAGTTTTTCATAATATATGGTAAGAATAATTATTACTTGGATTGGTTTCATCTGTCTTTACTAAATAATAGTAATATTGTGGTGTGTGCTACTTATATTGACATAAGTAGTATATGATGTTAGTCGTAAACGAAAGGTTTGGCAGCAGAGACAAGAGTGGAAACAGAATGCAATTTGTATGGAAGTGCAAGAACAATGAAGTTTAAGTCATTTTGAGACAATTAGTGGACATTTTGCAAATTAAGCATTTACTTTATGATTCTTAGATTTTATTAACAAGTCCTGTAATTTTGAGTCAAATACATTCGACTGTCCCCACTGATGATAACAGTATTCTCTTTATTTAATACGATACATTTGATAACAGTAAAAAAAATCTTACTTCAAAATATGTAAAAAAATTCCCCTTTTTTCGCCAGTAAACGGATATTCAATATATATATATATATATATATATATATATATATATATATATATATATATATATATATATATATATATATATATGGTGGTACTTCTCAGTCGTTAAATTCGCGATAAAGTGAACATTTTATGGAAATGCGTAGGCACAAGCAGCTGACAGATCTAATTAGTTAATTGAAATAAGTGTAAAACGGGAAAATTTATGCTTATAAATTCATTTTTCTAAATACGTCCTAGAAGTTTGAGCAGATAGATGTATAAATTGTCTGTGGCTGAATATTAGATGTTAAGCAAGTTTAATTCATTGAATATCCACCCCTATATTTCATTTCATTCTGATAATACATAATCTAATAATATTTGAGTATAACTCAGTCAATCAAGCGTTAGAAAAAGGATCAGTAATACGCATTTATTTCCTGTGATAAAATATAATTATGTAACTTAATTATGCCTCATTTATTATTTGGGGTCCGCGTGACTATCGTAACCAATGGTTGGAGACTATTGGTGACATGGCTCAGAATCGGTCACAATGGCGTAGGTGTATGCACTCTCTGTCTTCCCTTAAACTATGAGGTTAAAATCGCTTCATATCTTTCTTTCTACGAACTAATTTTTTCTTCTTGTACTATATCCTTATATGCAATCTTTCTTTTATATATTACCACCTCTGAATCAACTACTTTAATGAATTCGGTGTTCATCTTGTTGTGTTAATGAGGTATGGCAACTTCAATCAATCAATCAACTTGGACCGATGCATATATGTGCCTGATCCTACGTTGTAGCTGACTGAATGACTCAATCAACTTCTCAATCCTTGTTTTGTTATCATAAAATTCGAAATGATTCATTACTGAAATTAAAGTAGTTTACATTCTTTATGAATTTCATAATTTTGTCTTATTGTTGATACGTTTAATTTTCATGATTGTTATTGTTTGTTAATCTAAACAAATGAACACATAAAGGTTCCGTTAATTTGTTTCGTTTAATGACTGTTATTTGATGCCTAATATCTACAGATTCTTGTAAAAGCCTAAATAGCTCAGTCGTTTCTTTTATTGAAGGAATCAAACCTAGGTCAATGGGCCTCAACTTCGAACTTTTCTCCGCCTAATTCAGTCGTACAAACTGAATAGTATCACTAAATTTCCTATATTGACAATAGGATTTAGAACGTTTTGTATACTAATCCCTGTTTTATTTACTTATGTGGAAAGTTGTATAGCTGTGTTCGTTTTATTTCAGTCTCTTAAAAAAAAGTTAAAATGAGATTTCTACATAATTATTTGACGACACTTTGGTGATTTTAAAGACTGTATTCATGTATATATATCAACTGATGATCCAAATAACATGAGGCAGACTTGTAAAAATATAAACTATTTACTTTCAACACTTTAGTTTTAAGAATATCCTGATGTTTCCGATCTCTTTCAGTAGTTGTGGATGTACATTACTGTGTATTCTCAAAGTGGAAATAAACAAATACTCCCATTGCTATTCGGTTTTTTATACTTCTCTAACTGATTTCATACCGTCTTGGAAGCTTTCTTTCTAACTGAAATATTTAGTTTTTTCTCTTGTTTAATTGTTCATTGTAAATCACATCGAAAATACAGAGTATATGTGTTATTTATGCTTATATATCATTTTTGACCTTATTCACTTGTCGTTTTGCATTGACGTGTTAACCTAACAGATTTTGTAGATAATATCAAAGTAATTAAAAAAAAACATTCAATTATTTAATACTAGCCATTAATGGTTTAAATTTGACTAGGTAGGTTTTATAAAATCCCTAACGTTACATAGGTAATGTATGATGCTGAAAGATTAAGTCAGTCTTGAGGAATAATCCGTAATCATGTTATATGAGATTAGTTTCATTAGAATATCAGTTGATTGGAATCTTAAGATTACTGCATGGTATATTTCGATTAAATAGCTGTAATAACATTTTTACTACAATGACAAAATATACTGGATTTTAACTGAGAATCATAAGTCGTTTGCCAAAGAACCTTTTAAAAACGTACTGATCTTATTCAATAATAATTTATAATTTTGAGTTGGTAAACAAACAGTCCCATGTTTATTTTATTTTGACGTAAAAATTGTCTATGTTGCGACACTTCTCTATTTGTCTGTACATAAAGCTTTCTTGTTTAAATTCTTAATATATTTGTTGTTAAAGTTGGTGATTTATTTCTTTACCATCCAAATATGTATTCTTATGAATATTTTACGGATATTTCGGTAAACAAATGATAAAAATAGTTTTGCATAGAGCTGCATCATCTATTCGCGAATAATGAAGATAAGAGATAAGTCAACTGTGAAGTTTGTTGAGGGTCAACATTTGTGTATATGTGATTTTCTTCACGGATCAACGTTAGATGAGGAACCATTAAGAACCAAGGAGCACCGGACAACGGCTTTCAATTAGACATCCAATATTTCGCGGTAAATGGGATCTATAATTTTCAGGGCAAAGGGAAGCGCTTAATTACTAAATAACTTAGTTAAAATTCAATAGTTCATATTCCTATTTAGCGTGATTTCCATCTTTTGAATGCATGAACGTCCTTTTATCGGTCCCTGACTATGTCGTGGGTGGATATTTCAGAAAAATTCAGTGGTTCCTCAGTTTATATCAATGCATGATGTAAATTAACTTCAATCTATCTGAGAATTCTTTTAAGCTAAATGTATGACTTTCATTAACAACATTAGTATCCTATGAAAAACTTATATTTATACATCGAAAAATATGTATGATTCTCAGTTAACTTCCCTGTTTCATATTTCATCCACATATCTGCTAGTTGTCAATCTTATCTGTTTCAAAAAAGAAAAAAATATCGATTGATACAATTATTCAGAAATGTAAAAAAAATATTAGAAAATAATTTTAGTTCATTATAATAAATAATATTGATTCATTCAGTGCTATGCAATCGAACACACGAAGGGGACTGGATGAACTTTTCTCATGTATTTCTTCAATGGTATTTACTTCAAATCGTATCAGTTTTATTTCCGCATAGGAAATCTGTCATTCAAATATCAATTATTCAAGTGAAAACAATAAAGAAAAACAGAAAATAAACAAATTGAATGCGACCATCCCTTTTAATTTCTTTGTCTTCAACTCTATGGTTGAAAATAATCAACTTTACGTATATATATATAAATAGAGACTTGTTTACTTCTTTTTCTCGCCAAACTTAATTAGTAAATTTATCATTTTACATAAAAAAAAGAGAAAACTAGAATAGATGAATAGATCATGCCTTTAGTCATTCACTATACAATTGAATCCGAACAATCTAGATAAATTTGCTATTATTTGTATGTATGTTTATTTTATTGTTAATTTTGGCAAATTATTTATTTTTAATTTGATATTCTCTTTTATTCTGACTTAGTTAATTATAATTTATTATATTTCTCTCTACATTATTATGTGTTCATTTGAGTTTACTGAATTTTCTTTAACCATCATTAATTGCATTCAATATATTTATTGCTTAGATGTTTATGTTTTTCATTTCTAAATTGGTTTTTCTTTTGAAAATAATTTAGATAATTGACAGTTTCAGTGAAATTTATTTATTAATTGATAAATTAGATATTTCAAGAAACCTTATTTTTTGGTTTCGATCAAAATGTATAATTTCTATTTTAAATCATTCAAATATATGATTACTAAGTATTGAATGCAGTTCTACTCAATTCTTCAATAACATCTTTGTTTTAAAATTGAGAGATATAGTCATATCTTAGTAGTAAAATTAGTTAATGAAATTAAGTAGTATATTTTGCTTAATTAACTATTACAATGGCTTTGAATAAATTGAACATTTACGTATTTTATATGGAGAAACATGACCACATTTTTACGTATTATTTTCAATTTCCAAAAGTGTATATTTTAAGTAGAAAACGATTTTATTATAAAATATAGTATTTAAACTGCATAGTAAAATATGCATTAGTTTCATAGTGTGTCATTAACTTGATTTCCATTTTGGGTTGTAAAGCTGGGTAGATTGAATTTAGTTAACATTTGTAGTTGGTTTAGGTAAATCTCCTAGCCTGTTCACCAGAAGTTTTAGCTTTTGAAGTTTGCTTCATTTCACTATAATGGTTGGGTTTTTTCAATGAACATAGAATAGAAATCCTACATGTGACTTGAGAGATACTGATCAGGATCCTCTGCATAACCTTCAGAATACTCAACAAACCTGTTCTATTATTATGTGGACGATCAAATCATAAGCTTCGGTCAAGCAGGTGGTAAAAGTGATTCAGTTCTATTGGCATCTTACACACTAGTTGGTTGATTTAAACTCATTTTATCTTTTAGTCAGAAGAGCTGTTGGAGTTCATATTTTTGAAGGTGAATAGTAATATTCCTTTTAATTCCATATAGTATGCTATTTCCTTACTTTAAACCATTGTTATACCTTATTTTCAGTTTTACACCAATTTTTGCTACTCTTCTTGTTCATCTTATGATATCTTTCACTATACATGCAGAGATAAGTTAGTACGGGAATAGTATATTTAAACAAACTGTCCTTTATACATAACACCAGATGACATGAATTGATTAATCGACGTTGTGTTAATGTTATTCTGTTACAAACTGGAATAAACTTTCATGTTTATTTCTCAACTGTATACACATTGTTTTCCTTGAAACATAGTTATCGTATTTGTTTTCTTCTAATTCTCTTTTCAATTACTTCGTGGTGTATCTACTTTTTATGATGAAAACTATTCAATTTTATTTCCAGTATCTATTTTATTTTAAGCGAAAAGTCATGGAACTTAAAATAATTTTTAGATATAAAAGTGTTAACATCTGAATTTGTCGTTCTTGTATTTCATTTCCTTCCACTATTTTTCTTTACATATATTATTTTTTTTAATATCTTGATCTATCTGACAGTATTATCATTATGTCGAATGTGAAGAAGTGCTAGCTTTTTCAGGTTTTTTTTATAACACAGAGTAAGTGAAGCATCATTTAAATGTTTAGGGTCTAGTGCTTGAATTTCAGAAACAATACTTACTGAACAGCTGTTTTACTAATATTTTCATATTATTTTAACGGATGATTTAATTTTTAATAAATTCTTTCTCCCATTTAATTTAGAGTTAAACATGTATGGCCATTACTGCTTCCAGAACATACAACTGTTTTAGATGATAGTCTAGGTTTAGCTCTTTGGTTTGCAGCCCGTGGAAAAGGTGTTTTGCACAGTTCAAGTGAATTCGAAGAGAAATGCACTTCGTCAGCAAAGGTGTGTTTATTTTTTCGAAGATAAAAACGTTAATAATGTTTCAGTACTACAGTTTCTTTCTATCTAAATAATTTAACTAACTATATTGACATTTAAGGATAATTTTATTGAGTCGACTTAAACTTTTAAAAAAAAATCAAATGAACCTAAAGTTTGCGTTTCTAGTTAGTCATTTCAGTTTCGTTTGAGTTCTTTTCTGAAATAATCGTTTACATCTTTCTCACCTTCACAGCTAAACTCAATCAGTCTGTTTACATACAGTTGTAACTGAGACAGCCAATTTACAATGACCTGTTAGGTCTAGCCTTTGTATACTTACTGAACATTGACTTTTAAAAGGATAATAGTAATTTCTGCTCTGGAACTCAGCACTGAAACCTCATATGTATTTGAGCTTCCTGTCCAAGTGATCTACGGTTTTTGAAATCATTTATCTCTATTGCTTCGTAAACACAAACTAGAACGAAACCTATTCACACTCTTCTATGGTTTGCTTGGTTATTTATAACTATATAGCAAAACCACTGTTTTATTGCTTTTATTTATTTGCTTGTTATTATTATCTTAAGAAAGTTCCTATGTCCTGTTGACTCACAAAAAATCACAGCCTTACCGTAAATAAATGTTTTAATGGTTAATTAAAAATCAAAACAGTTGTCATTCACTCGATAGTATTTTTATCTCATTTACATGTACTACTTTTACACTTGTAAACAATTCTGTCATACATATATGCCTTATAAAGATGGGTTAGTTGGAGCCCTAGGACTTTGGCAGCAAATTTTAGGTTATCTAAAATATTTAGTCAAAAAGATGCTAAGCTTTGTACAGATTTTTCAATTTCTTACTTTCTTCATCACTATCTGATTTTAACTGTGGTTATGATTTCAATGAATATTTTTACAATCTTTTGTTAGTTGTTTCCTAAATCTTTCTTGGTAATGATAACTACAGTATATTCCTTACAAGTTGACCTATATCTATGACAAAGTAGTAATGTGCAATATTTACTGTCTTTAATATGAAGTCGATAAAAGCGGTGTTAAGAGTAATTATTTAGGTTTCTTTTGCATGATGTTTTTGGTTTATATCTTGTCTTTTTTACTTGGCATATCATATAAGAGCAAATTGTGTGTAAACTAAAATAAAGGTTCTCACCTATTTTCCTGCAATTATATTGTACTATGGTCAAAATGTTCAAAATAATGTCCATATCGTTGCGTGAAATTCAGTTGTCACAAAAAAATGAAATTGTTTCAATTGTATACCCAATGAGTTAGTGATGCCGCACTCGATACAAATTAAGCAGGTTTGCGAGCGAGTTCTTCAGTTAAATTTATAACTATTGCTATCAATAAACTGTTATCATTGTCAGATTATCTGAGAACGAAGAAGTAAGTAGAAAGTTTTAGTCTAACATTGTTTACAGTGATCATCTTACCGTGGTAAAACTGCATTTATCTGTTAACCATATCACAATATTATTTTATATCTTTGTCATTCATCTTGCTAGTTCGAAGAATCTGTTGTGTAGTAGTTTTCATTTTTGTTCATAATTAAGAAACGTCAGTCTAAATTGCAAATGACTTGGATTCATTTCTATCGTAACTACAATAAATTTTAACATTTTATTAATCAATGTCCCTGTATTCTCAGAGTTACTTTTCTTGTAACTGTAGATCTGATCTACATCGTCCGTATATTACACTACTGTGTATGAACATCTATATCATAAAAAAGCCTATTCATTATATGACATAAATTATATGAAATTAAAGTTTAATAATTAATGTCCTTAAATTATGTCATAGCATTGTAACAATAAATTTTTCGACTCAGTTTCGTTTGTATCCTAATAGTTTTCTGTTTTTGTAAAGTCTGAATTTCAAGTTTACTTTTTTATTAAAAATTTTAGATTTTTTGTGGCTACACCACTTTTTTTTTTAGCCAAAATCGATTTAATCTAAATTATTTCAATCTAAAATTAATTTGTGGTCTTTTGGTAACATGGTTAACGGAGTTACAGTTAAATAGTTTTGTGTTGGCTAGTTTGAATAGAATTTAGTGCACACGCTGTGTTTAATTCTGTCACATATATCGACTTAGCCGTTTGAAGCATGTCTTGTTTGAATGTGACCATTCTGAGTTCATCTTAGTGTTGTTGTGCTTGTCTCTGAGATGTCAAAAAATAAATTGAAGTATTAAAAATTGATTGTATTAAATAATAGATGTTTTTCTTCCATAAACTGTTCAATTATTTTATAGGTGTTATTTTTTAAATGTATTTTGTGAGAACAATTTAAATTTGTAATAGTTTCTTTTTAACTTGACACATGATATCTGAGACTTCAGTTGAAGCATTGGCATAAACTTTTTAAGAACCACTATCTCAAATTAATTGAATTAGTTTCACCACGTCAATTTATATGTTGCAGATTTGTTGCTGTGTTCCATGCACTTGAGGTTGGTGAAGCCTCAATCAGTAAAGCTCACAGGCTTATTTGGATTAGAAATCCACTTTCCGAGGCTCACGAACCCACTGTGTGGACGTGGTTTTGTGAGAATTTCGTTGTTTATTAATTTTCTTTACATTTCGATTGATTTTAGGTCCTTATGATGATCACTAATCATTCATCGAAATAATTCTTAAATGTTTTCCTTTGCTTGTTTTTTAGTTTCTGTTCCTCGGTTCTGGTATAGATGAGCAATTAGCTGGTTATGCTCGTCATCTAACAACATATAAGTAAGTTGTCTTACTTTTTTCCTTTGAAACTTTATGCACTGCATAAAATGTGCTTGATTCGATGGGGTTACTTATTTATTGAAATGGTATTATTAAAGCAATATAACCAATCAAATGATAATTTAAAACGTGTGGAATAATCATATAACCGATTCGCATAATAATAGGGATCTTAGAGATAACTAAAGTGTTGCTATCAATTTGAATCCATCTAGGATCTTCAAAATCCCAACGAAGATAACCCATTTATCGATCACTAATGATTAATTTTAATGTATTTTTATTTCCATTCAAATAAAAAATTACTTTGAGGAAGCACTTGTAAAATTTGTAGTACAGTGTGAAATAGTAAATGTTTAGCGGTGATAGAGTTGTTACACACCATGTTTAGAGATAATAAGTTCAATGAAACAACTAAGTTACTAAAAATTACTTGTTCATCAACTATTGATTTCACTGTGTATTTACTAACTACTTCATTAAACAATTAAAAGTCGTTGTAAGTCTATAGTTGTAGAGATTGTTGGGTTTCATCGAAATAATGAACCGATCGATAGAATATTATAATTGAAAACTTAGAAGTACTGGACGACCGTTTCGTCCCAGCATGGTTCACGTCATCAGTACTCAACCACAACCCCGCACACAGGTGTTGAACCCAAAACATTCCGCTTTTCACGCGAACAGCTAAGCTTTAGAACACTAAGTGGCATCCAACGGTGTTAATACCCAACCTCGATCATTTCACGACATTGTGCAATCATCTCCAATTGTTTTTTGTGGGTGACTGCCTTGCACGCGACATGTCTGAACTCTCAACAGAGCTCCTGGAATTTCTTCTCAGGATATTATATCGTTAATACATGACTGCGTATCAGAGTGAAAATGCATTAAAAGAGCAGAAAGGAGAGTGCATGTACGAATCTCTGAACAAACTCTAAAAAAAAGATTAAAAAAACGGAGGATCTCAACATTCAACTGACACTAAACGTCTTGTCAACGTTTTAGCATCATTTTAAAAAGTCCACACATTGAAAAATGCAACCCAACTACATTTTGTTTAAATTTTTGCACCGAAAATTCACCGGTGAGCTGTGAACTTTCGGTGTAATTGTTTTTTTCCTGTATACTTATATACAATCTTTTTTATATATTACTACCATTGAAGCAACTACTTCTATGAATTTAGTGTTAATCTTGTCGTGCTAATGAGATATGGACGTATACATATATGTGCCTTGTCTTATGCTTTAGCTGACTAACTGACTATTGTTTTCATTAAGATGATTGAGCGGATTTTGTTAGTTCATCTGCCTATTTAGTCCTTACGTCATCAAATTCTAAGTACTCTTGTTCTCATCGAGTGAATTATTATCGGCAACCTCTTCAAAGTTGAGTGAATTTGTAATCTTCACATAATCTATGTATTCAGTATTCCGCCACAAGAAAGTTTTCTTGGTTTCGTTTAACATTCTCTTTACACTTTACTTGGTGAACCTGTGCATGAACAACCACGTTAAAAAATTTTTTGTAAAGTGGTTAGTTAATGGTTAGGTTGTGCGACTTTCAGCCCAGGTCAAAACACCTCTACAGCCACTTCATTTTAGGTATCTAATTAGTAACATTAGCCTTCCCAGAGCGTGGGGCTCATACCCCAGTACATAGTAAATAAATTATCATTATTATAACTATTAATAATAATGACTTTTTTAGTCATAAGCATTTTCGGTCATCAAATTTAATTAGGTATTACTGGCATATTTCAATCCATTGGGTGGATTTTACCAATTCCAAGAAGGATTTAAGAAGTTGATGAGAGTTCACACATTACAATAAAATTCATATTGTTTTTCTGCCCTAATTGTTACTCCTTTTTTGTTCTGAAATTTATATAGGGAATGCTTCTTAACAATTTTATAGTATGTTAATATCAACTTACCGATATATGTATATATATATATATATATATATATATATATATATATATATATATATATATATATATATATATATATATATATATATATATATAAAGTTGATTTAAAAATTATGATTTACGTATTGACCCAATTCACTCTTAATAATCTGGCTATGCATTTGTTTGTAGACCTTTTTTATTTAAGAATAAAGAACTGTCAAATAAATAAATGAATAGTGATAATTGGAAATACTACAGAGAGTAAGGTTATAAAAATAATATCAAGTTTTCTCATCACCTACTGCATAATTTTGACCTTAAAACACATTTTGAATTTTTGTACATTATCTGTCAGTGGTGTATTACTGGGTTTTTTCTAGCGTTGTACATTGAGTGACTCAACTGAGGTCCGACACTACTAGTTGATGAAGTCATCGACTATTGAGTTGTGTATAGATGGGGAACTTTAAAATCTAGCGACAAATTAATTCAGTGATCTTATTTCCTTAAATGTTATATCTAAAGATAAGCTGCAGCGCAGTAGTATAAAGAACGTTTAACATATTCTATTCTCTTTAGCCCATATTTTTTTAAAAATATGAGCCAGTGTATTACTTCTTACTCTAGACAACAAGAGGATGGATTCAGTAGATTGGTTCATTGAGCTGTCATCCTCAAATATGTATCAGCATTTAATAAACCTTACATAAAATGCTACAATGAAATCACAGATAGTGTTATATATATATATTAAAATCATGAGCCCATCAGTTTTAGACCATCATTAAAAATCCAGAAGCACTGGACGGCCGCTTCGTTCTGGTAATGAGACTGCTCAACAGTGTGCGTTCACAACTCCGCACGCGGGACTTGAACCTAGGTCCTTCAGTCTTGCACGACCGTCTGACCTCTAGACCACTAGGACGAAACGGCTTTCAAATGCGTATGAACAACATCTACGCTGAATTTTCAAGCTTATTATTTGTGTATTGTCGCTTGTTTTTATGTGTGAGTAGTTGTGATATGAAAATTAAGGCTCTTCAAGAGGTTATATTCATCAGTATATAAGATTCTATTACTCTTGTTACATTTTACTGATTTTATCTTGATTACATGAGTGTTGAATTGTATCAATATATTGGTTATAAATTTCATAGTGCTTCGTTTTCGTAAAGTTTTTATTGTGGTTTTTTATTGGACTTTTCAATAAGTTTAAGCTTTTCTTATTAGTTTATAGATATCCTATATTTGTTATTTAGATATAGGATATATTATCCGTTTCACTAAGATAACTTTCTAGACATGTCATTTTGCGACCGTAGACTACAAGTTACTATAGACTTCAAAATTATATCCAGAATGTGTGAACTTTCATATAGAAACCAAGCAAACCGTCAGCTAATTTATACACCGGTGATATGACTTGGTTTGGTAATAGTCTGTTTTCCAGTCTACTTTGATTTCAATGTAGGTGGGGCTAAGTATACGTTATATATATCTGAGCCACTACAGTTGGCATACATTTATAGAGTGATCAACGAGTCCACAAATTATATTACTTTTAGTTTTGTATGGAATTTTTGATGTATTTTACTCCTGGGTTTTCTACGAATCAGACTGTTTCCTTTTTCCCTTTGGTAATGGATTTTATGCAAACGAACAAGATAATTTGAAGTTGTTACAGTAGTACATGAATTTGACCGTGATTGTTCTTGTTATGTTTACTAGGTGTTTTCCTAATCTTCAATGAGTTGCACTGTCTGAAGCATCTCATAAATGGAGTTATTCTTCAGTCTTTTTTAAATAAGAGAAAAGAACGTGTTTAAATCCACATGTTTATATTCACTTACCATCTACTTATTCGTCATCCTTGGATACATAAAGGTTAACAGATTCTCTGTTTCTTTGTATATGAAGTGTGGAACGTTCTGTTTTATGTCTGGGAAAAAATTAAGGAATTAAATTTGAATAATTTGATGTTTTACTCTAACAATCGGATACATTCAGTTATAATCTACTAACGTGTGGTTTTCCTCTAAATTTATGTCTTTTTAGTGGCAGTAAATCAAACTAGCATTGATTGCTGTCGACAGTATTATTATTATCATTGTTTGTTAAAATCCCAGTATCAGAGTCACGTTTATTATTTTTTATTACGATTATTTGGTTTAAACTGTCTTTGTTATTGAGATCAGTATCTCCTTCAGCATAACTCACTGATCGAGCATTATTTAGTTGTTTACTACCAATTTTCGGTCTGTCAATTTTCACTTTTGGTTTCGTATCATAATCTGAATTGGATTTAATGAAATGTGAAGGTCTCAAAAATTTGGAGGATGATGATGATAATAATGTTGATTTGTGTTGATCAAAGCAAGACGTATTAGTTAATGGTCTTTTTTGTAAATTTTGTTCCTCTATATAATTTTTCATATGTTTTTTATTCTCTGTACGATGTCGGCTAATTTCAAAGCATTTAAAGCATCCTTCAAATCTACTGTATTGTCTACGCATTATTACACGTATTGGTTCATTTAACCATCCATACAACAATGGATTGACACAGGCGGAACCCATTGCAAATAATTTTAATAAAAGATCAATAATTTTTATGTGTCTCCCCGGTATAATATTCATATTTGGTTTCATTAAGTCAATCGATGAATCCATTGTAAAATTTCCATTCATAATAGGTAGTGACTGATTCATTGTATACCATAGGAAGTCTTCACATGTTTTCAAACCAATAGAGTATTTCCATGTTTCATCCTCTTTGTGAATTGCTTGTTGACTTGAATTGAATAATCGATTAAATTTTAGTAAATCATATGTACTTGCTGATGGTAAATCATTTTCAACATTTAATAAAGCTTGTACTTCTAATAATAATGAATATAAACACCATGGTGTCCAACAGACTGCAAAACAAACAACTGTTATTACTAATAAACTAGTTGTACGCTTTTTACGTTTTTCTGCTTCTTTACTAGCATTTAATTGACAAGGTCGTTGTTTTAATCGTCGATAGATAGCTAAATAAAATCCACCTGATGCACTTAAGGGTAATAGCACTAATATGACAAAAATGGATACAGAATAAGCAAATCGTAATTGTGGACTTGGCCATGATTCTACACAATAATGATATTCATTTAAACCTTCACTGTTTACTTGTAATGCAACTGGTATTGAATTCAATGCACTAAATAATATGACAATAATAATTAGACCAAATGCTGCTTTCGGTGTTAATTGTGTTTTTAATGGATAAACAATAAGACGATATCTATCAAATGCAATTAATAAAATAGTTAGGCATGATATATACATTGGTATACCGAAACTACTAAATAATACTCTGCACAAATCTGTGCTTGGTTTATGATTCTCTGTCATTTCATAATATAATTGTATTGGCATACTCACTGAACACAAAAATATATCGGATACAGCTAAGCATAATACAAACAAATTTGTAATATTGTGCGATAATGTTTGCTTTCTAAATTTTAACAAGGCAAATATCAAAATTAAATTGAATGTTGCTCCGCATATTGTTAATAAAGTGTAAATACAAATTAGAAAATTACGCCAACTTGGTATGCGATGCGATGAATGTTCAGTTTTGCCTAGATCTGAAGAGAAATCAAATAATAATGGAGATTGTGATGTTTGATATTTCGGTTGATTTAATTGTAAAGATGTTGTCGGAAAAATATGTGCTTTAGATGTTGGCACTTGGTCGGATTTTGAATGAGTTGGTGAATTCGATAAGTTGGCTTTATGATTGATCTCATCAATCCAATTATTTGTGAAAGTTTGATTCATATTTATGGTTGCACTATTCATCATAAGCATTGATGTGCACCTGAAATATTAAAAGAAATATAGATGTTCAGTTTTAACTTAGTTTGAATTCATGTAAACGTTAAACGGATTACAGTGTTGTCTATCCGTTCCCGTTATAAATGATCTAAAAATAAAACTCGGTAACTATATATGTATTTGTGAACTAGATGTGTGAAAGTAATTTTTAAATAAAGAGAATGCAAAACAATTACCAGTTCATTACAGGAACATTTAATCAAATAAAGATCCTTTCTTTAAAACAATCTACACAGTCAAAGGAATTGGATCAAATGGAGGTAGAATCAAATACTTATGCACTGTTGAGGCATTGGCAATCCACTAACTCATTCCAAGAATAGATTTACTATCCAGTATCTACTAAAAACAATTTTTATCTTTCATATTTTTCAAATGATTACAGAACACACAGCAATTTATTGGGATAGTTAGATTGATAGAAAGTGAAGTTAGCTATCAAAACTTAAGAGTGTGCTATTTGAAAAGATATGGTTTATAAATTATCTTGACCCAAACTTTATCGCGAAGTTGTTATTCGTGTAAAGAATAAAATACAGGCTCAGTGCATGGAGTTGTTTTTTTATATGCAGTTCATAGTAAACAAACGTACGCTAAAAATGCTGGTATAAAACTATAGTCATATGGATTGTGGAATGATAAATTCCAAATCCTTGCCATTGAAGGTATTTCGGGCAGTGTATTTTCTAGTAGTGGTATTTTATAACACTGTAATCCTCAGTGTTGGTTGGCAGCTGTTATTAGTGTTTATGTTCGGTGAGTTGAAAGACTCAATAATAAGTTCAACTTGTAAAAGATAGTGGACTGAGATTATTGAAGCAACCTTATAATTCATCTAATATAAGGTCAATTTTTATACTTTCTGCCTCCCATTTCACTTCCTTTTCATTATTCAGTATTAAATGAAAAGACAAAGCAAAATAAAGATTATGATCTTATGTTTATTTATGTTTCATTATTGTTCAAACACTCATATACTCCACATTTGTTTTTGTTGTTCTCTCACTATCTCTCAATATTTCAAATCATGAATTTTTGCTTGCAAAAAACCAATAAGCGATCAAAAACTTATTTTTTCTTTCAATCGCATAGTAATAACACTCGTCATCGATTATGCTGTATAATATCAAAATGTAAATAAAGTGATAACTCCTTGATTTTTCTCTTTCAAGAAATGTTTCAATATTTCATATTCCTTCTAATTTCCGGTCAATATATTTTCATCAGCTGTACAAAGCATGTACTTTTAAGTTGTTTGGTAATTTAGAAGGATGTATGAGAGGTGAGGATTAGGTTCCTCTTAATTACTAGATTGGATGTTCACCCATTCCAACTTACAAACTTCGTTTCTGGTCATCACGTACCATCATTATCATTCATGCAAAAGCTATAACTTGTAGCTGAACTATGCACTAGGCACTAGAGTTACATTATATTCTGCAAAATATGAAGAGTATGAAAACTAGTATAATGTGATCATTCTTAGTGTACCAAACCTTTTTATTTTGAAACATTTTTTCATGGGACCTGCCTTACTGTTAAATTTGTTACAGCTTTTTTGTTTCACTCTAATGCATCTACATACTTATTGTAGTATTCTGATTCTGGTTATTCAGTAACACGTTTACAGAGATCACTGATTACTGTTAAATAGTATGTCTAGTACAAACTTGTACATTTGGCTTTTAGCTGGATTGTAAATGTGAGGTCTAGTAACACTGTCTAATTACCAAAACTAAATAGTTGGACAAGAGTTCGAACCTGTCTCTTCGTGTCTCAAAGTAAAACACCTTATTCACTGAGCTACCGCTTGTAAATCACGGTAACCTACCGACGTTCTCCACAGGTTCAATACCAGAAAATAGTAGTCGGTTTTGAGTCGAATTACCTAGTAAGAATTAAAGCCTTTTAAAATTTCAAAAGTAATAATACTGTGAAATTGAGGATTTCGAAAGGAGATCAAACTTTAGCTTTCATGAAATGATTGTGGCTCGAATCCCTTTTTTAAAAATTCGACTTGCTATTTGATTCAGATTTCTCATTAAGGCTACTATCAGAAAAATAACTTTCAGGATGTAAAATTCAGTTAAACGCCTGTTAGTTAATTATTTCACATCAGCAAACTGTTATGTGAATACCTTGGAGAAATCTCTATCCTACAGACGCATAGTTCAAATCCGAAAAAAGATAGTATTATAATGGTGATCTTTGGTATTGTCTGTGTTTATTAACGATGGGACATAACCATATAATGGTCCTATTTTATGCATCGCTGTCGATGATTTTGTTAGTCAAACACGAATAGATAATACAATGAACTAAGTATTTTAATGAACATAACGTATGCCGTTTTTGGCTACCAACATTAATTAATGTGAAACAACTTCATTTTTGTTCTCTGAAAATAGGTCTCATGTAAACCATCCAAAAATATTAATCTTTCACGTTATTTATGCGTGTATACGATGTCATTTTACAAATTCAAGGTATCTTTTCTGGTTTAGTAAAGAGAAGGTATATTACATTCCCTTTCTTTTAGGGAACTATATTTAAACTGTAGATAAGATTCAGTTCTTTCCATTACATACTTTGTTATTTGTAATCACTCTACTCCAGTAACCCATAACTCTCTGTTTCAGTTTTATATTTTTGATCGGGAATATATCTCTCAAAAATTTAATCCCCCCGAATTTTTTCTCTCTACATACCTCCGAGAATAAAGCATTATTAATAAATTTTTCTTATTGACACTTTTTTTAAAAATTTAATTTAAAATGGCTAACAAACGTCAGTATTGATATTAACCGATTATGTCGGTTTAAAATTTTATTTTTTTATTATGCTTGAATTATCGTTTCACTAATTATAAGTGACGTTGTCTTTTCCTGTTTTCTTTGTTGTTGTTGTATATTTCTTTATTTTCATTCCAATATCACATACACATATGGATTCAACGTCTTTTTAATTGTTCCTTTTTTTCAGGCCTACTTTGAGTTGGTTTTCTTTTCGAAAAAATTCGTTTGTTTTATGTGTTTTTATTTTTATTTTCAACTAAAAAAGTGCCTGTAGAAATAAATTTTACTATCTATTGTATTAATTGTTTGGTAATGATTGTACAATGCAAATAGATTCAGGTAATTTGTCTTATATTTTTACGTAACACATTTGTTAGGTGTAGTTTTATTGTCGTCAGCTTTTCATGTACTTACAGTGTGACCATTAGTTATGTTGCTTCGTGTTTCATTCCCGAATCTCATAATACCTACAAGTTGATATTTTTAAATGCCGTAGTTTGAGATCGATTCCCAGTTCAGATGTTTTTTAATGGAAGGCTCTCTTCATTGAAATATTTCTATCTCTTCTTTGGAGAAAAAAACACCAAGAGACAATAACAGATTCTGCTTATTTTTCATACCTTAACGATAAATGCGAATTGATTGAACTGCACGGCAAAATTATCCAGTCATTTATGTTCGCTAACAATAAGAAGGTTTATAAACAGCAGTCCTAATTACGAATGTTTTATATTTCCTATATAAGTTGTTTATGTTCACGAAAATAAATGATAATTTTATATCATTCATGTTATTATAAGTTGCAATTAGTTTTGTTTTGTTATATGTTATTATTTGCTTGTTTTTACCTTATAAGTATGTTTATTTATCTTTTCAAAAATAATATATATATTATGTATGAGGAAATAAACAGTTATCACTGATGTCATGAAATATATAGTTATATTCATTGGGGATCGTAGAGTGTTGTGTTTTTGTAGTTTACATCATGGACTGATCTTAGCTAGGCGAGAAGACTAGAAAGAACTGGACAGCTGTTTCGATCTAGCATGAGACCACTTAGCAGTACTCATCCACAACCTTACCGGAAATTAAACTCAGGACATTTTTATCTCGCGATGACGCTTAACCTCTAGACCTCTCAGCCGGCATACACTAGTGTACATATCTAACTTTAATTCATTCACCATATTCCACTATCTGTAATCGATAACTATTTCTTAACGGGCATGCATTTATAGTAAAGGATTAGGTTTTGATAATACAATAGATCAAAAATACATTTATATAGGTATACCATAAAATCACAAAGCTTTAATTATTCTCTGTACTATTTGAGCGTATGTACATTATTTCTATCTTTTGCTTAATTACTGACAATATACTTATATCTGAGCTATAAGAACTCAAGGTGTTTTTTGTTCTCACATCTTTTATTATAACAAATACTCATTTATAGTCTAGCTTAACATTTCTCGGTGTGTTGCCTTCGAATATTACATTTCCACGATAACGATGATATTTTATTACGATTTATGTATCTATCTGTCTTATTTATTTGTTTTTTATAGCCCCATTTTTCCGCAGTACCTCTATTTTGTTTGTCTAATTTATATCATAACATTTTTTCTTGTTTATTTGTTTGCTTTGTTTCTTCTTTCTATCTTCTCTTCTTCTCTTTCGCTAGTATTATTTTTCCTAACTAAATATGAATGAAGAAGAAGAACGAAGTACGCATTTTAGGTGATTTGATATCTTATTTCCGAAAAGTAGCTCGTATCTTGTCGATTGTTGTTTTACCTTAATAGTTTTTGAGAAAGGAGCAGAAAAATCCTGCCATACACAATAACTTTTGTGCTTTAGAAATATGTAAAATTAATAGACTTGTCAAAATGCTTCAACTGTTTCCAGTTTATAACTACTAGTTCGAGTTAAACAGATTCAAAGTATTATATTAGTTGTACTTTTTAAAATATATTCGTGAAAAATCTCCAAGACACCGAAGCCATTGTTTCAAGTTGGTGACAATGACTGAATTAGTCACTTTGCCGAATCTTAACATCACTTACATAGTGTTGCCACTGGATGTAAGTGATCCCTCAAGACAATAATGATCGAATAGAGAAAGTTGCTTGACATCTCGTAAAGATCAGGTTTCACACAACTGGAGCAAAATCGCTGCCACTAAAGCGTTGAAAACCCAACATTTTACAGCCAAACTAACACCACAATGGAACCAAACATGACCCACATTGACACGAACCGTTCTGGCTGTCACTAAATGCCCTCACTCTGCTTTGAATGTTTTTATACAGAGCCTTTAAGATGTTAACAAGCTATCGAACTAGAGCTTTTTTCAGTACACAATCCCAAAATGCAACTCTGTCCAACATATTGAAGGCAGATGTGATATTAGGAAATTCAACGTATTTTGCTCGGAAATAATATTTTAATTAAGATATTTAAGTCGTATAACAATTAATTTACTGAAGTCATATATATAAGGACTACTTTTGTAGCGTAGTCTCATATTTCTCAAACATTAGTTGTTTTTGTCAAAAATATTATAAGTACACTACTAGTGTCCTTTCAACGGCTTTCATTCACGGACAAATAAAAAAATAAAGCAATAGGAGCATTAATCACAATTATTTATATAATACTGGTAATATATCCTTAAATTATGTCAGTTCATTAGAGTAAAGCAAGTTTCAATTCCGACATTATAGTTTATGTTTTTTTTAAAAAGTTATTAAGATGAACAGATTGTCCTGAGTTAAATCTGAACACACAGGTGCATATTATTTAAGTCTGATTATTAAACTTAACTGCATTGGTCAAGTTATTTGGTGAAAACGAGGTTTTTTTTGTTGTATTATGCTAGTTCCATAGAGTAAGTGTTTTAGGTCAATGATGTGAGTCCATTATTTCCAAAGAATACTTAAATGTCATGTAACGAACACTAAGCATCAATTATTTGCGTTGGAAAAATAGTATAAAAATGTTAGTTTTTGTTTAACATAACTAATGAACCACTGTTTAATTCTATTGTTCAATTCATGTGTTCCAAGTTTAATATTTTTCAAGTGTAATTGCATTTTGGATTTATCCTAAATAGTATAGCTTACAATTTATGCAAAATCAGTCCTAGATAATTTAGTACTTCCATCGACGATAAATTGAATATTAACATTAGAAATCATCTTGCTATTCTAAAGAACCCATAAATAAGGATCTATTATACATGTTGTTATTTCTACTGATTGATTGTTCGGATTCAAAGAGTTGAATAAATAGAACCTTTTTAAATGAGATTTAGGTATATGGATTGGAAATCTAAACTAGAGGTTAGGGGGAAATGGTTTCAACGTTGTTTTATTAAGTATAATCCATTTCGTACATAATAAACAATATAATAAATGATGATTATTGATGATTTACAAACTATGGGTTCATGTATTTTGATTTTAACCAGAAATTATAGTTCAAGGCCTAATGATGCCATCTGGCAGTTTGTGGATAATCCATAAGCTGAACTATTTAAAAGTCTGTTTACTTAATTTTTATTATTTAGCTTCTAGGCAATCGTTTTTTTAAATCTTGATAATTCTGACCTACGGGATGTTTTTATCAAATTTTACAGGAAATTGTCACGGAAATTTCTCAAAATAATATATTGGACAATTTATTACCTTTCGTGTTGTTAAACTATTTATGTTCGTGTTTTCAGACCATTTTCTCTGATGGTTGTTTCATCTCAGGGTCATTTCTCTATTTTCATTTTATTGTATTCGATAGAATCCCTATTTTTAGGTCTTTTTTGTTCCCTTCATCGAATTGGGTACTGTTCACTTTGTTCGACAACTGCTTTCAATGGTTTTTCGCGATCAATCCATGTCATAAACTATGAAATTCAAGTATCTCTACAACACTACTACTATTGGTGTATATTGTAGTACTTTTAACAAACTCTAGTTAAATCTTTAAATTATGTAAGATAAAAAAAATAGTATGTCGTTACTTATATATGTCGTTTGTAAAAAATTAAATGATGGTTTTTATTGCTAATTTTTATCAGCCGGTTATCGATTATCAGTAGTCATGTTACAATGTTTATTTCCTAAGCAGATATGTGAATTACAATTGAGCATTATCATCGATGTCACTTTATAAGTCAATTTGAAATTAACAAAGTTGATTTGAACTAAATATGAGGCAGTAACTTAAGCTTGGTTTATAAATTGGATTTGTACAGGTTTCTGATTATCAGGAGTGACACATTCTAAACCAGCCCATGATAACCATGGATTTTTAAAAGTTGTAAATGTAGGATAATTAGTTTACATTTTTTACCACATCTGTCTTAAAGAAATATTAAATTATAATTCTCATCATTTTAATTGTTCCTTTTCTTATATTTACCGTGAATAAGAGGTATGTATATTTTATTTATTCAATGTAACATTCATTCACTAATTACAGTCATGCATCAAGTAATTTTTCATGTGAAATTTCATATTATGTAGCTACGAAATATTGTTTTTTTTCTTGTATACCCTAGCTGTTACTATGACAGTTTGTAACATCCCATATTTGTAACGGTAATGAATAATGATAGTGACTAACGCAGGTGTAATTTGCAATTACAGGAAAAAAGTAGATTAGTGACAATAATTTTTCGGATAATTAATAGTAAAATGTCATGAAAATTTATTAACATCCTCATGAATAAGCATTATATATCTACTCTGAATTTATCATTCAGATCTCGTTACTTCATTTATACGTGATATTAATTTGAGAAATAGCGAAATTGCTTTGTTGTTGACAGAATGAAACTGATCAATTTAACGAAAAAAATAATTAAGAAAAAAAACAAATTGCTTACGGTAATACTGTTAACTAAATTTTTTTCTAAGTAATTATCATTGTTATTGAGATTCCTCACGATTGTTGTATTCTATGTAATTATTTGTAAGAACATAATAAATAGCTTTAAAGATTGGTTCATTAGAATTGTCCAGTTGAGATCCGTGCAATTGAACTTCCAGAAGGTAGAGAACTTGTGGTTATGAAACTGATAGTTGTTTAGAAAAACAGTTAGTATTCCGTCAGCTTACAGCAAAACGACTGTCATCTCTATCTGTGAAAAGTGCGGGTGTAACCTATGCTACAACAATATTTAAATAAATTAACTTCAAATTAAGTCCAACCATTGGCCTCTGTTATTTTTTGACGGATTGTTGTTTTCAACTCTTCGTGATCATCAAAAGAAGGGTAATGTTATTTCACTTTACGGGTTATGTTATCCCCCGAATGCCCTGATACAGCTCTCACATGCCAACGTGTAAACAGCCACTGTCAAGAAAGCCCTATTTAGTCCCTGCTCTTGGAGGGGTTGTTTACGAAATCGAGAGGACGAGAAGCGAATGTCTGACGCTTAAACTGGTTCGGTGTATATGGAGGATCCACTTAAAGGAGTTTTAAACCCTGATTCCAAACCAGTGGTGCACGTGGGCTACAGAAGCCTGAGGAAACAAATAGTGTGTGAACCTATTGTCGGCAACCGGCTACCATGACACTGTATCTCCTCACGTCGCTTCACTGCTTTGTGGACTATACTTGTATATCAAAGTTTCAGGGTGTGGTTCACTCATAAAGCTACCTGCTTCGGTTTGAACACCCGAGAAGTATATATATATATATATATATATATATATATATATATATATATATATATATATATATATATATATATATATATATATATATATATATATATATATATATGTATGGTGCCTCCTTGTACCGATGTTTATGTGTTTAGATAAATAATAAACTTCACCAAACTTCTAACACATATATATTCAAAATTATCTTTTTGACTTTTAGATTTATACATGCCAGTTATTCAAAACATTATTCAATAAAATGTTATTCTATTAAGATTGTTTGAACGTTTCTTTTTTATCATTTCGCTAGTTACTACCACTATTGCGCAACTTCAACTCACTTTATTTAATCCAAATTATGCATAAAAGATTATTTTTATTCCCATTATTTAGACCGTATTTTTATAATAGATTTCCACAACGTCGATATCTCTGTGTTCATATTTGATATTCGTTTAAATTTTGTTTAAAACATACCCTATTCGTTGGGTATTCAAATCCATTTTATTCTGCTGCACTACAATGAAGGTGATGTTTGCATTAAGGACAATTCATTATCGTTCTATGATGGCTTATATTAGATAGAGTATGCGTGACTTTATAAAAGAACTACTAGTTGTATATATAGGTGATTTGTATCTCTTCAGAAATTATGCACTTATCTGGTTCAAAATTAATTCAGACTATTCTATAGATGTTCATATCCGATAAATTTATTTATTTAGCTTAATCGTAATTTGAAATTGTTTATTAGTTTACTGATACAGTTTTTTTGCATCCTAACTTCAATAGTAAAGACGTAAAAATGTAGAAAAAGGTGTGTTTATTTTTCAAATATTTTTTTATTCATAACCTTAATATATTTTAATTCTCCTCAGCAGTTCACTATTTGAAATTAATGTTCATCATAAACTGAGAATATACAGTGATATTTAACATAAGGGGATAATAAATGGGTTTTTTTTTCTTGCTAGGGAAGTCTGTGACTTCGCAACAAGCATCAATCCAGAACCTTCAGGTTACCTAGCCGATTTGGTATTTACAAGTTACTTGGTCGCATTTCATCGTTTTGTGTTATTCAAATTCAGTCATTTAATGTTACGCCATATATCAATATTTTTTGGTTTCAACAGTTTTGCATTTGATAAAAATAATTTCGAAAATTCTATGGATATGTAGATCATTTGATGCTGGCTTAGCGGTTTCAAGGTTAAGCAATAGCCATGGCACGTGAAGCTGCTTTGTACTAAGACATCTAGTAAATCTTGATATTCCATGGTTTAACTTACGTCAGTTGGTTATTTCAATAGAAAATTTTCAAAAATTCTAAGATCAATTTTTTTTCACAAATTTTATTCATTGGTATGTTAACATTCATACGTCGTGAAATGTTGACGATTTACCGATCGATATTTTATTTATTTACGCTTCTTTACTCCTTTCTGTCTTTCTCCTTTTATTCTCTATCTATTTTACACGACAATTCTATAAGTTGGTTAAATTTTTTCTACAAATATATAATATTTAAAAAATTTCTGTTTAAAAACAAGTTACTTTCTATCTTTATTCGATTAATAATGTACCAAAATATTGTTTATTTTTCTCTTTGTTTTATGGTGATAACCTGTTGTTAAATTGGATTGTTGAATGGAACATGCAAGAGTAGCAGGGAATAACAGATCAAGTGTTTATATTACTTCAATTAAGTGATATACGCAATTAAGTGCGTTTAAATATTTATTTTTCATCTCGTTTTTTGTCTCTATTGAACTATTGATTTACTGATTAAATCAATTTAAGTTAAATACTAGTTTAATCGTTAAATGAAAAAGAATCATATGTGGAAAACAGAGCAACCTTTAATGTATCTGAATTTAAGATACACCTTTTGGTATATGTGTTTGTGATATTTTCTAACTACAAAGACTAAAATAAGTGGGACAAGTTTTAAATGAATAGTTATGGTGATTGAATGACAAGTACTTTAGTGTCTAAATGATTAGATCATATGTTATTCATCAACAACACGATACTATTGATTTGTTCTAAGACATCTTGGAAGACCACCTAGTGTTGCCATTTTTTGACTTAATATTTAGTGGTATTTATAGTTCCTCAATATTCTGATTTGATTGTTATTTCACGTTATGAGTTTTTCTTCTTTATTACCTTTGATGTCTAATTGCTATGAGTTACCACAAACTAATGATTAAAAAATCGAAGACGAATGATTAAATAGAATTGATTAAAATACTACCGTCTTCTGTTATTTTTAACACTTTTAAAAACAAAAGTTGAGTGCAGAAAAACTATTCTTTTTAATTAGCTATTCATCATGAATTCACAATAGTTGTATGAACTAGTGAGTTTGTTGTCAGGTTTTTAATGTAAATTTTCGATCCCGGCTCAGTAGTCTAAAGTTTAGGCGTTTTCTCGTGAGACCAAATGTTCTGGGTCCGATTACCGGATATGTGGTGGTCGATGCACACTATCGTTGACGTCTATACTTGGATGTAAGGGTCATCCAGCACTTCCAGGTTTTCAATGATGCCCTGGTTTGTGATTTAAAGTATGTTAAATAATAGTCTGGGAATGATAGGTCCTGGGTTCGAATCTCGCAGTGGGCGGGATCGTGGATGCGCACTGCTGAGGAGTCACACTGGGACGAAACGGCCGTCCAGTGCTTCCAGGTTTTCTATGGTGGTCTAACTTCAAATGACTCATGATTTTCAACTATTGAAATTACTAAAATCTTCACAAATCCTCTTCTGAAAATAAAAGTCATTTAATAAATAGGTTATTAAAATAAGTCGACTTTTACTAAATTCGTAACAATTTTTTTCCTATATTGAGTATACGTTATTTTTGTCCGACCTTATCTTTTAAAACAAACAGACTGAATATACCACCTTCTCTTGTAGAAAAGTTCTATTTCAGTGTTTTTAATTGTAGTTTCTACGTAGTTGAATTGGTACAATTCAATGCAATTACATTTGTAAAACCTATAAATATAGTCAAATTGACATTTAGTAGACAATTTCACACGACTTTACAAGTAACAACCGCTGTGAGATGTTTCTCGAGCTACAATGAGTGGACAAAAATGTTGCTGCTTGATCTTGTTTTTTCTAAAAAAATGTTTTTCGACTGCCTTTTCTGCTTATTATGTTTGTCATTATACACATTATATCTATAAAAAATTACTCTGTGTACGTGTTCCAAATGATAAATAGTTTTAAACCTATCTTTTGACTGTCTTTATACTTAATTTTCTATGCTTCACGAATATATATATACTCTTTGAAGTCAGAAAGCTTGTTGTGACCAGAAAGCTTGGTGACCATTTAAGAATCTTAAAACACGTTGCTTATCAATTCCATTAATCGATATCAGTTATGTACAAACTGTAATAATAATGGAAGTTAGCATACTTATACATAATTGAATAGTAAGGTTAGTATAATTTACATTTGTACGAGTCCAAATACCTGTTGTGGATTAAATGTAAGATACCTTTTAGTATGTTTTTACTTTTGAAAAAATACACATTAACCACTATTTCTCCTAATTGTATCCAACATCTATACACTTTCTATTAAATTTCATGAAGCCCATGAATAATTAATTCTTGTCCTATTTGTTTTAAAGTTAATATTGTTTGATTGGTAGAAAAAAAGTCAGGTAATCAATTATATTTAGCTAAAATACGATGCCTGACCGTTTTTTTTTGGTTTATTGTCACCATTGTCAGATCAATTCCTTTATCTATAATGAAACATACATTCGTGGATGCTTTTTTTTTATTGTAAACTAATGAAAATATTTCAGACTTCCCGAAGTTGCACATAGCAGCAGTAAGAAAATATTTTCTGTAGTCAGTATAGTTTGCAGAACTTATTATTATCATTAGGTTTTTTTTTTTAAAAAAAATTTTATGCCGTGTATTTTAATGTTTCTTGTCTGTTTTAATTTTCATATCCGGGAAATCAAGTTACTTTATTTCGGAGCCATCATTTTTGTTTCAATGTTTTTTTCTTTTCCCATAAATCTTAACAAATAAACAAGGGTTGATCATTATTTTCATGAAATTTTGTTTAAATTTGTTTTTCTGTATAAAAACACTTGGAATTTTATCTTCTTTTTAGTTTTTAATTAATCTAAATTCAAAATGTCCACTTGAAGTATAGATAATCATGAAAATACTAATATAGCCTTACAGTGATTGTTTATAAGCCATTACAATACACACACTTGTTACATAATCTACTTTTTATAAGTGCCGTAAGTATCCTGATCATAAAAAAAATTAAATTGTTTCATATTTAATTTTGCTTATGGTATGCTTTCACCAGTTTATAGGGAACTATCGTAACATTTTTACTACGATTTGTATTTATATTATCCACGTGTAATACCAAATGTTCTCTCTAATATTTTTGACGATACAGACAAACAACTAAATAATAGAAACATAGTCAAACTGATCATTGTACAAGTTTTTAATAAATTATTTTATATTGTTCTGTGTTCCATAAACATTTTTATTGTATCACATAGAAGTCTAACATTAATAGTGAATATTTGTGGTTGCCGGTTACAGTGAAAGAGAAAATCGATGGGAAACATGGTGATATCAATAACTAATTCATGAATAATCTAGGTAGTGTTTGTTTTAGACTAAGGATTTCGAATAAATATTACATAGATATATTTTTATGATGTAACCATTGCTTAAAAAAATAAACGTCTTCAGTTCATGTCATATTTTGTCTTATATTAACTATTGATAATCATAAAATGGATATTTTATCTGTCTGATTAAATACTTCAATCAACTGATATATATATATATATATATATATATATATATATATATATATATATTTGGTGGTAAGATTAAGAGTGAAGTTGTTTGGTTTCTCAACTAACATGATTGATTAACTGAACTTTGACTTATTACGCAACATGAAAAAAATTCAGACGTGAAAATTAACGAAATATTTCGACTTACAAATTAAGTAATTCTGTATACTTTTGTGACATAGTTAATAAACTGTCGTAAGTGTTTCCATTGTTTGTTGCGGTTGTCAAAGATTCTGCTGGCAACTGATTGTTCATTATTTAATTTTTTTCACTTCTGTATCTTTCTATGCTAATGTTATGGTTTTTTTCGTTGATGAAGGATATGTTCTAATATATCACTAACTATATATGCATATATATAAATATTATGTTTATACATGTCTCAATTGAATCCCATCTTGGATACTTTATAAGATAATGTTTATGTATTAAATGTGGTAAATATGTGTAGTATTCTATTTATCAATATTTCCTGATTTCACTTATGTAATTATATTTGTGTTTTTTTTCATATTTTAAACAGAACACTGTTATGACTTCCAGTTGCTTATTTATTTTCCTATAAATTCGTGTGGTGTGTTTAAATACATTTTATTAAAAAAAATTTTTAATTTAGAAAACGGACATGCAGATATTCCCCTCTTGTCCAACAGAATTTAAGTATTGTGTGCGGTCGTGTAGTTTTGCTTGTATAATTATACACTGACACATGTATTGATCACGTGTAACTCACCATGGTTTTATATGATTTAAAGATGGTAATAATTTATTCGAGTCGAGAACTCAATATGTTGATTTCTTTTTTTTTCTTTTATGGCAATACTATTTTTTTTCTCTCAACCATATTCATTCACATCCCTTCTGGGACAGGTATCAACATACACACGCACTGTTACAATTGCTAATAACAGTTATCTAAAATATTTATTTATACAGTTTTCATATACTTCATTCTACATTAATAGCTAACATGAGATAAGTGATTTTCGTCGTATAACATACTTGATCTTTTCACAATTCTTTTTTTTTATCTTCAAGTCTCTTTCCTCTCTTATCACTTTTCTTTCAAATCTGTTGATGTTTTTTTCTCCTGTAATGCTGTTCTTGTGATGACTTGATAAGGAAAGAAAATGAAATCGACTTGCTTTAAGAAATAATTATTAATAGATTATATATATCTTTGCATATTTCATGGGTTTTTATGATTTGTTCTTACTAAACATAATGCCTAGTTGCGAAATTCTATCTCATTAGGATTTCCTGTTTATAATTTTTTCGATAAATATTATATCTTATCGCATTATATTCAACTTGATATCTTTAAACCTAATGTATCTTTCATTATTTCCTTTTTTATTTTGCTCTATATTAATTATTATATATTCTCCGTCATATTTAAATCTGTAGGACGAAAACCTTGACAGAGATTATTTAACGAAACTTTTTATAAAAATATAAGATAATTCAACTGAGCAATCGATTTATTTAAGCTTTAAGTCAGAGTTGTTTTGAATATATGTTAACGATTTATCTATCAACAGGATCCAGTTAAGTTATCATAGGGTTAAGTGGGACTGCTGCGAAGTCCCAAATTACAACAACAGTTGATCAGTGATCTCTGGTTTGATGTTGATTCTAGTGGACTTCAGTTTATTCATAAATGATCTTTAAATCACATAATGTACATTAAATTGTTGTAGATATTTATGCATAGAAACTGATTACATTTTTGAAAATTGGTAATCTATACAGTTACGCACACTATCTTGAAATTTTGGAGATTTTCTCTTGAGGACGTCTTGCTTATGCGGATGTGAATAAGTGCGAATAATCAAAGCCTTTTTTTATAAAATAGAATAAATTTTTATCTTTATTCTACGGTCTCCTTTTATTCCTAGAATATAAGTTGATTAACAAATTGACGAGTAGGATTAGCATCCTAGATATGTATATATTGAGAAAAGTCCATCAAAATGAATATTAACACATCACTACGAAAACACTTGAATAATTGATTGATTCTCTGCCGTAGTTTTAACGATATATTTTTCAATCTTATCTATTCTACCTGCATGAGTAAATGATAGTTGCCTTTAAATAGAAACTCATCCACTTTTTGTGTATTATTTCGAACACTATGAAAACTAACTAACATAATGTATATCCATAAATTTATGTATAATCTGCTTCCAAGTGGTGTATTTGATAATTTAGACTGGTATAAATATATGCCAGATGATATTTCACCTATGAATGATTGAAGTAAATTCTAGTTGAAATGGATTCTATTTTAAGGGAGGGTAATGAGAATTTTCTCAATGATTGAATTCCCTTTTAATATTTAAGATAATTTTCATCAATGTTCCAATGGTAGAACTAAAAGTTACTTAATTGTAAACCAATATATAAACTCTTAATCACCTTGTATTTGAATAGTATATATCTACTGTAATTTAAGCATTTCTTTATTTTTTGCATAAATTAATTTGTTTTCTTTTCAGGTGTTTATTTCAGCTATTATTGGTTTTATTCATTTAGTCAGATAAATTAATTACTATTGGGTTACTTGTTGTTTCTTTCTTAATTTTTATGTGTTTATGTATAGATTCTCTCTGTGCTTGTGTTACTTTAACTATTCTTTTTTCTTTTTAGACTATCCATTAAGAACTAGATTATATTTCAGTTTAAATTTCAATCGAATAAGTTGTTAGGTCTAATAAAAAAATGAATCTACTTTATAAGCTGTCCTGTAGCTCAGCTGATTTCAGTACATAACACCGGTTGTTAGTTAAGCCTTTCGAAGATAGATCATTACCTTCCCTGCCTCACCTTCAATTTCATTCATAGATATACTTGTGGCAGCATGTATGTAGAAAGGATGAAGGAAAGAAGTTCTACTAATTTTTCTGAACCTATGTCTAGAAGACACTAATGTCTTCGCAAATCCACTCGCGAGTCACCTGGTGGAGAGTGGGTAGTATCCAAAAGATTTACGAGATAATAAAAAATATCTTACATCGTTTCTTGGAAGCGATCGCTATCAAGCACTTCCGACTTTACTTCTGTTTGCAAAAAGACGACGTGATTAGGCTTTTCTCTACTGTGATAACTATGGGTGTAATCAAACAATCTCTTTATTATCCTTTAATCTGTTATAAAATCTTACTGATGCTCACATATTAATTTTATTTGGGTTTTAAGTCTATATTCTTTCCTTAAATTTGATTAATTCAAACTATCTTATCATTCCCTAATACTATATCATTACCATGAATATTATTGTGTAGATGTTGTTTCGTGATCTCTAGTCTCTATTCATTTCTCTCTTCAATGTATGACTGTAATAATGATCACCTTTATTTCATCTCTCTAACTGTAATTATACTAATCTTTTTAGAGAAGGGTGTTCTACAGTTTATCATTACATCCAATTAACAAATGAAAAAGTGATTTTTGATGAACAGTTAGAACTGCTTTTACTTATCATACAAACAGTGTATTTTGATTTTCAATTAGTTTTAAGGCCATGTTGCCATAACTACTTGATATTTAATTTGCTCACAATCTGTTGAACATTTATTCAGTTGATCAATATGCATCTCTGGTTTCTTTTCTAAATAAGTACTATTCAGTTCCTTCTCACTTATCTATGACGTGAGATGTTTTGGCCGATCATAACGAATATTTTAAAATTTGATAAGTTATGAAAAAAATTATTTGATACTGGTCATTTGTTAAACATATGATTTATTATGATCTGAATTGCTGTAAATAAGTTTCCATAATTGAGAATAAAGAGAGACATTTTTAGTGTATTGATAAGTTTTTAGTCTAAAAATCCATGGATGATTTACAAATACTTCTAATATTCAATGATTGAAATTTATCTCAATGAATATGTTTTTTTACTTAAGGAAGAAGTTCTGGAATTGACTCGACAAAGTCACAATGTTGAGTAATAATTTAGCTATTCTGAAATTCGACTTCCAAATATGTAGGTCACACATTTAGTTACTTCTGTTAAGAGATTTGGGCAGTTCTATTTGTTCAAATAGATAGAAAACAATTTGACTTGAAGCAATGTTAACGCAAATGTGTACTTGATCATCAATTTGCGTTAGTTTCTCCTATTACATCCTATTTAAAATAACTTCTCCATGCTAATCGACAAAATTAATGTCAAAAGTTTATTTTGTATTGTAGTGTCGATTACTATGTTAAGCCCACATGACTTATTCTAGCTTCCTGACAAGTCAGTTTATTCATTCGTCTTGAGTCACGTTTTGACCTTGTCAATTATTTGCTTATTAACTTTGACTGTTGTTTTATGTGCGTATGTGTGTTCATTTCTTATCCTACCCATCATATGTCTGTAACTTATTTTTGTTCGACCATAAATATAACGATTCACGCTTGATTAAATGGAGTCGGCTCACTCGCCTTTTCCACCGCGCATCATTTCGTTTCTTCGCCCATTTGTCTGGATCAACGATTGTATGAAATATACGTATCCGAAATTCATTCTTGTATTTGACTTATTTAATCCCGTTATTCACTAACGCAAGTCGATAACCATATACGAGGATTGACGATATGCTTATTTCAATAATAATGATTCGTATAATCTACCTGGAGTCAGATACAGGGCCACAAAAGTACGATGCACATTTTGTGAATAGCGTTTTAGGATTTGTTTGAATTCCGTAAAGCACAAGTGTAAAAAAAAATGCGAATTCCATTTTTATCATAAAATATTTTCATCTTATTAATTAGTATTTATACTTTTAATGAGATTTAGAGAATAGCTACTTAATTTTTCTTGTATTTAGTATAATTGTAATTGTTTCAGTGGACGCTTTTTATATCAAATAATTAATTGTAATTTATAGACATCTGATTATAAAACTAATTATGATTAATGTCTGTTACAAATTCGGGACAAATAATCTGATTATTAGGTAGAAACTAAACAGAACACAAGATACTTATTAATACATTCTTCTGTGCATATATTACACTAATCCTTCGCGGTGAATACTGTTTGGCACCAATGCAAATAAAATAGTCATTTAATTGTCTTTTTGGTATATTTTTGATAGAAAAGTTTTTCATACACATTAATTATATTATGGTAAATAATAGAAATGGAATATGTATCTTCACTATTTTTTTTCTTCTAATTACCTCAATCAAAAGCATTATTTTATTTTTATTGATGATTTCTGCGTGTCTCTTGTGAACTTTTTGCTGTGATTAGCGTGTACTTATTTTTTTTAATGTTTGTTGTTTTTCTCTGTCAACATTTACACATATATGTTTGTGCTGGAGAAATTGTGGTTTAGTTCAGCTAGCTTTCTCAAGACTTATTTTTGTCTGTTTTTGGTGTACTAACTAGTTACGAATCTTTTTGTTTTTAAAGAAAAATTACAAACGACTCCTTTTTGTTGAAGTGTTTTCTTTACTGTACTGTAGAAACCTGATAGCCAATTTAAAAGTTCTTGGTACTAATTTGAAGTGATTTCGATTCATATTATTTACTGTATTGTTTCAAATGTCAAAT